CCAGTATCCAGAACCAGCATCCAGAACCAGCATCTAGAGCCAGCATCCAGAACCAACATGTAGAACCTGTGGACTCCAGGTTCTGGTTCCTCCCAATGATCCACATCAACATTTAGTCTGAACATGTAAAACCAGAACCTTGTCTGGTCCAACTTCACCACATCAGGTTCTGCTGATGTTAGAGCCTCAACAGACTGGGTTCTAGTAGAACCATGGATCCATTTATGATAATTTTGCGTTTCCTCACAATCATTGGTTCGTGTCATGATTTATTTTTCTGACATATTTTGGACAAATGTAATTTTTTTTTTTGTTTAAAATTCCCTTCAGACAGATTCTGGGTTGTTCTGTTCGATCTTTATCTTCTTCTTGAGTCATTTTAGAAACATTTCAGGACATTTGGATCAGCTCTGAGTCAGAACTGAACCCTAAACATGTTCTAAATGTTTTGGACGGTGAAAATCTCCAAATTCTCAGGTCCAAAAACATGAAATTCTAAAAATTCTGCCAGCGTGCGAACAGAACTTAGAGACCAGATGAGCTGATCGTGATGCTTTCTGAGGAGGATCATGATGTGAACACTAACGTGAACACCAACATGAATCCGGCGCCGCTCTGCACAGACCAGCAGCATAAAGAAGGTTCTGCTGATGGACCCTCAGCATCCATAAATGTCTCATATTACATCTGCTCCTAAACACCTGAGCTGCTCGTATTTGACTTAAAAAGCACTTTGTTTGCTTTTCAGAGTTAAAAATAATCCCTTCACAGGCTCATACGTGTGCTTTCTGCAGGACGTGTACATGATGTTGACTTTGCTTGACTTGGAGCAGCGGTTCTGTTTTTGAGTTTGGTGCACAAACAAGAGATAAAAGTGAGTTTTCTGATACAGCGAGCGGCTCTGAGCTCAGACTGAAGCCTGCAGATGGTGATAAAGTGTTCATGTGCAGATTAGTGGTTCCTCAGTGTTCCTGGAGCTGCCGTCTCCTCGTGAAGCCTGAGGCTGAAGCCTGAGCGCTGCTGGTTGTGCGACGGACTCTCGTTACCAGATATCTTGTGAAAACATGTTGCTCTTGGCTGGCATCGGCCGCTTCGCTCTCACACTTCATTATTTCTGACCGCAGCAGCCTCCAGAGCTCCTCAGCGGTGGAACCAAAAGCCTCAGATAGACTCTTTATCCACGGCGTCACTTTCCCAGGTTTGGTTTTTCCTCCAACATTAAATGTCACATGAAGGAATCACTTAAATATGAACAGTTTAAACCAGAGTTTTAAAAATAATTCACAGATGTTCCCTGTTTTGTGAACTCACAGAAGAAAATGTTAATAAAACTGTAAATATTATCTACAGTTTGAAAAATCTGTTTTTCTACAAATATTCAGTTTTTGTAACAATCTGACAATAAAATACATTTTTTTTAAAAAGTCTATTTCAATTAGCAAAAATATATTTATGAGAAAAATTAAGTATGTTATTATAATTTATAAACTTATGTACATATTATGTAGAAGAGTTAGAAAATGAGAAATAATGTTTAAACTGCT